AAGGCTATTTTTCGGAGGAGAAGTTTCCAGAGGAATCCCGGGTGCAGCCTCCCACCGTGGTTATCGCCATCATAGCCCGGAACGCCGCTCACTCCCTTCCCTACTACCTCGGAGCTCTGGAGAGACTCAACTATCCCAAAGAGCGCATCTCTGTGTGGTGGGTTCGCTCGTAAACTCGTGTATAGACTAATCCAAACTCACATTCATATCTTTTCATGTCCTTTACCATCATTTACACCTCTTTCCAAAGTAATTTCCATTTCATTAAGTCAGTCTTTTTACCTCGTTGTTTCAGTCTTTTCCCCAGACTTCATCTTCGTCTGTTCTCTGTTCAATCTGTGTTCTGTAGTTGTGGTCACATATTTTCCACTCCATAGAGCTGATAAACGTTTCGTGCTTTTATGACATGAATAATAATGTTCAAATGATGCACCAATTCTTACTTCTGTTTACAAAAAAAATGTTCTCCTAACCCTACAGGGGGTGCTGTTAATCCAATTGAAACACCCTGGTTCTTTAGTTGAGGGTGCTGGGACAACAAAATGGTTTAAATAATAAAAAAAAACTTTAAATGTGTTCACAGTGTTTCACATAGGAACAAGTATTGTGATACCACAAATTTGTGGCAACTAACCACAAATATTTTATTGTAACTTTCACATACAGATGGTTTTATTAGAAACGTATTACTTAGATAATTGGTCAGTTTTTAGTTAACCAAGCTAATTCAGCTAATCCCAGCCACCTCTCTTCCCTTTCTTGTTCCATATGTATTGCAGCATCGTTTGCATGTTATCCCTGCCACCTATTGATTTGATCAGTCAATACGGAACTGGAAACTTCCAGTCCCAATAAAAAAAAAAAAATCCAAACAGAGTGTAGCACACATTCCATTAGCCACAAATTAACATTTTAATACATTTGAAAGGATCAGATAAATGTAATGTCATGTAAATTAACTTATTTTTAATTAGACAAATTCAACTACATCTACCACACCTTTTTGCGTTTCTCTATAAATTCCTTTCAGCCGACTGGCTGTTTGAAAGAGCAACCTTTTCACTCACTCTGATTACTTTTGGAAATGTGTATATCTGTCAACATCTACTTTCTATCTTCTTAGGGCTGCCACAGATCACAATGCAGACAACACCACAGCCATGCTGAAGGAGTGGCTCACAGTCATGCAGAAATATTACCATTACGTGGAGTGGAGACCGATGGACATGCCAGTGTAAGTCCAAACGCACTGCTGTTTTAGCCATTACTTCACACTCTTTGTGGCACAGACATGGTAAGGGTTTATTTTATTACCAGTGTACATATACAGGCACATGTACACAAATAACAGAATTTCTCCTTTACATTAAACCCATCTGCTCATTCACTCAGTGTCGTCAATGTATGTCCTCCATCTGCACCACCGTAGTTACCAAAACTGTACATTTGTTTGGGTTAAACACCTGTGTCGTGAGTGGCCCTCTGGCCCAGAGGCAATGTCTCTGTCATTGGTGTGGAACTCCAGGGTTCACCTCCTGGGCAAGTTCGAATCCCGGTTAGGGCAGTTGGTACCTTCCAGGGGACTCACCACCCGCAGGAAGGGTTGGGGGGGTTGGTACGGTGCAATGTGATTTGGGTGGCGACTTCTGCCCCCGCGACCCGGTAACGGGTAAGCGGATGCAAAAGGATGGATGGGTGGACCTGTGGCGGGGCGTCATTTACTGCTGAATTTCTATTGGCTGATTTGTACACATAGGTTATAGAAGCGGTCACACTGTGAGATAGTCATCCTAAAATCTAACACCTCTAGAATATTAACTTTGGGCGCATGATGCTGACAACTGCTATTCTCACTGTGCCACCGTTTTAGAGCCAGAGGAAAGACGATGGTGGTCTTTCCACTGGGTCTACCGTCCATTAGGCTTCAGTGTGAACAGTCTATGGCCCTGAAGTGACTAATATCCTCAGAAGAAGACGTGACGTCACAAGCAGCACGCCATGTTCACAGAACAATAGACGGAATAGTAATGCTACGCATGTCACTGTGTGTGCATTCGTTTATCTAGTTGTTGTTCAGTTATTGTCACATCATGACGTCTCTGCCCCCCCCAAGTGCAGACCTCCCTTGAACCCCTGCTTTTTCATCACCATCTATCTCTGACAGTTTTCTTTCCTCTGATTAGATCTATCAGCATTGTTTATTACAGTTAAGTGTGAAAATTGGAAGAGAAGTAATCACTGAACCAAGACAGTATGGAGTCATTTAGATCTACACACAGAATCAATAGTCTGTTGTTTCTGCCTGTTTTAGATCCTATGTAGGAGAACTGGGTCCCAAACACTGGCCTAACAGCAGATATCAACGCGTGATGAAGCTGAAGCAGGCAGCACTGGACTTTGCCAGGAAACGCTGGGCTGACTACATCCTGGTACGATAATCCTTCTCCTCTCAGAAGTCTCTGGAGATGGAGTTTAGAATCATGATCCCAGTGAGAACGAACACAACGTTGTCTCTTTTTTGTGTGTCTGTGTTAGTACGCTGACACTGACAACATCCTCACCAACCCAGACACACTCAACCTGATAATGGGAGAAAACAAGTCGGTGATCGCTCCCATGTTGGACTCTCAGGGAGCCTACTCCAATTACTGGTGTGGTATCACTCCACAGGTCCGTCTGAACTTCATATCTGTGGATCGTCACTTTTCTGAAGAGTCAAAGAGGTTACAACTGTTATTCAAGCGTGACTGCGTGTGAATTTACTCCCGTAGGGATACTACCGTCGAACAGCAGAGTACTTCCCTACCCGTCACCGTCACAGACTGGGCTGCTTTCCTGTACCCATGGTCCACTCCACCATGTTGCTGGACCTGAGGAAGGAGGGTATGAAGAAGCTGGCCTTCTTCCCTCCTCATGAGGAATACTCCTGGCCATACGACGACATCATTGTGTTCGCTTTCTCCTGTCGAGCTGCAGGTGACATGACAGACCAATAGGCTTAAGGAGATGGCTGTGTCCTTACTCAGACTTAGTAAAGGCCATTTTTATATGCAAATATAGGGGCTGGAAAACTCTAGTTTTTGGGTTATAGTAAGCTTCATTTTGGTCCCTTATAGCCTAGTGTGCTGATTATCAACTACATTTTGGCTAACATATCGCTGTTGTTGATTAATGCTAAGTGCTAAATTCTACAATTTTCAGACTGCTTGCTATTCAGCTATTTTAATAAGATCCACAGGAAAGTACTCACATGCAACGTGGAAACAAAATGTTGAAATTGACAAGTGTTTATTTTTTCTTTCTCCTCAGGGATACAGATGTATTTGTGTAACAAGGAGCGGTACGGTTATCTAAACGTGCCGTCCAAACCTTACGACACCCTGGAGGATGATCGTCTTAACTTTGTCCATGTCCATCTGGAATCGATGAGTAAGATCTAAACTATATATTTTAGAATTTCTGTAAAATGACATAAAATCTTCTGTGAACTTTAAAAGAAAATCTTTATTTTTGTGAGGTCTGACTTTCTTGTAATATTCTCCAATCTGTTGTTTTTCATTGAAGTTGATGGCCCTCCCATGCTTGTGTCTCAATATGTCCACATGTTCCCAAAACAGAGGGACCTTATGGGCTTTGATGAGGTAATTTCCTTAGTACACTCCTAAAGTCTCTGTTTTTTTATAATATTATGCAACCGTTATATCTTTGTAGTTGCGTTCGGCTTCTTTTCTCCAAGGTCACTGTCCATTTGTCCTCCTTTTTACAGATATATCTAATAAATCTACGTCGCCGTCCTGACCGAAGAGACAGAATGTTGTTTTCTCTGAATGAGCTGGAGATTGACGTGAAGGTGGTGGATGCAGTGGATGGAAAGTAAGGGCAGTGGTGACCGAATGAAATCAAAAGTTATTTTTAAAGAGAAATTTACAAATACAAATATGGTGAATGGAGTACAGATTGGATTAGCTGTTAAATTAATTAAAGCATGAAAATACCTTTATAAAACTGGTGTGTGTGTGTGTGTGTGTGTGTGTGTGTTTGTCTATATCTATAGTGCACTGAACAGCAGTGAGATCAAAATCCTGGGTGTTGACCTGCTACCAGGGTACTATGACCCCTTCTCAGGACGCACTCTGACTAAAGGAGAGGTGGGCTGCTTCCTCAGCCACTACTTCATCTGGAAGGAGGTGAGAGCCAGCAAATGGTCTCGTCAGTAAGTTGCATGTGCTGTAGAGGGCCTTACATTTCAGAGATGGGTCAAAAAAGTAGCATTTTGCAGGAATCCCTACTGAACTATATGACAGATAAATTCAGGTAAGCCATGTTGCTTTGTCCCCCATGCAATAGCTCTGTGCTTTCTGTAGGGCCCCGCCCTCCACTTTGGAAAACCCCTGCTGTAGATCTTTTTTTAAGTCAGGGCTATAGTTCTGAGATTAACACTTTATGGTCGTATTCAACGTCCAGCTATGATGTGTTTTTTCTCTCTTTCACAAGTCAGGTCCCCCATTTAGGGAACTACAGAGTAGGGATACATACTGCCTTACCTGTATAACCAAAAAATAAATCCTGGGTGACAGAAGCACTGATCATTATTCAGAATTATGATTTTCTTTTTTAAGCTGCACACAAACATAAACTACGTTTGATCTTTTTAAATTTGTTATATCATGATAAGAGCTGCGTCTTCATTTTTTGATGCCGTAGATTTCAGTGTGTTGTGTTGACGTAAACATCACATTGACTGTGCTGTTGTCATAGCTTTGATTACAGCTTTTATGGAAGTTGAATCTTTTTTTCTTCAGATGGTTGACGAGCAGATGGATAAAGCCCTTGTCTTGGAAGACGACATCCGTTTCCAGGCAAACTTCAAACGACGAGCCCTCAGGCTGATGGAGGAGGTGGAGCAGGTGGAGCTGGACTGGGACATTATGTAAGATTTGTTGTCACTGGGTTGTCATTTGTTCATTCATTGGCCAAGTGAATTCTGTTTGTTCAACGTCCAGTAATTCAGAGATAACTTTTATGGCACTTTGAAATGCACTGCTAACATGTAGCAAATTTGCTATGCTCCAGTTCCGCTAAGACACCACCAATAAGCTAGAAGCTAGGGCCCGATAACAGGCTGCATGTCTACAATGCTCTGCTTTTCTGTCATTAGATTTACATTAAACAATGTACCAGTTAATGTTATTCATAGAACAGGCTTTAACTGTTCATAGTTAGCTGTGCCTACTTGCGAGGAAAGGGAAAAATAGCACAAATTAGCCTGTTGTGGCTCGGCTGTCTGCTCCTAAAGAATAGTTCAGCTCAATCAAGAGTTGTTTTAAAAGTATGACTTTGTTTGTTTCCATTTTAAGACACTTTGCTGAAGCATATGTAACTCAGCTGTGTCAGTAGAATTGTTACCAGGTGTTTGGCTGTAGCAGTTGGAAAGGAAAGGAACAGAACAACAACTTTATACAGTACAGTTAACATATGCTTAACATTTGTAAACTTTCAGTGACATTCTTTTTTAGAGCTGCTATATACAGTATATGCTCTCGAACACTGCTAGTATGCTAATTAACAGTATGCTAATGTTCTGGTTCTATCCAGGTTTCCAACTCCAAAAAGCTACAAGTCCTGTAGTTAGTCTTAAGCCTCAGAGATAATTAGGAGTTACAATGTGTAATTATAATGCATTGTGCCAAAGAAATGTTCAGACTCATATACTGTATATATATATAAATTTAGTGACATAATTACACACCTGTTTTTATCCATTGTTAAAGTTTTACTCTCCAGTTGCTATCTTAGTCTTTGCGTGTATGTTTAAATGTTTATTTTGTTACAGTTTCTCTTTAATTTAGTTTTTAACAAGCACAAAAATACTTCTCACAAGTTTTGTCCTTGAAATGATTCGAGGTATATTTGAAGTCTGTATATTGGTGGATTTTGGTGACTATTCCACCAACATGTGCAGAACAAAAGCCTCCTAAAACACAAAGAATGACTTCCTGGAACATTTTGTAACAATTACACATCACAGCTCACAGCTGTTTGGGACACTGCTCCTATTTTTTTACCCTGTTGTTTAAGTCTTCTTGTGGGTTTGTGGTCCTGCAGATACTTTGGGAGGAAGCAGGTTAATCCTACAAAGGAGGAGGAAGTGGAAAATGTCCATAATTTGGTGTGGGCGGGTTATTCCTACTGGACTCTGTCTTATGCCATCTCCTTACAAGGAGCCCAGAAACTGCTGAATGCTGAACCACTGTCCAAGATGCTGCCTGTGGACGAATTCCTCCCCATCATGTATGACAAACATCCCAAGTATGTATGACAGCCAGATGACTCTGGAGTTCTTCTACTCTTTTCTACGTTCCCACGTCCTTCGGTAGGGTTGTTTTGTCTACAGTGTTTTGTGGAATTATACTATTGTTAACCCCTGTTCTCATTCACTGGCATCACTGATGTAACCGTGTGAAGTTAAACCAGGTCATATAGACTCTGTTCACATTCCACGCAGCTGCCTTAACTTGCATGTGCATCTACTCTCTTTTTTTTAACCACGCTGAAATGTGTTTTTGGAGCAATTTGAACAGCTTCTAGTGCATTATTTTGGCTGACTTTGTGCTAAGTTTCGATAACATTTAGCTTTCTGAAACTGATAATAGTTATCTTTCAGCTGTTTTTGAGCCTTTTTGACCACTCTCAAACAACTTAACTTACCAACTGCCATTCACACATCTGAAAACAGATTTGATATATTTGTCTTTGCTCTGTAAAGACTAGCTGGACATTTCAAAGCTCGTGTTTGGTGCCAAACCTCTGCTTGAACCAGCTCACTGGCTTCTTTTTTGCTGTTGGGCAGTTTTTCCACACTTATTTCAGTAGAAGCTGCCCTACTTTGTCTGTGATCAGCTCAAACTGTTGCTTTCATCTTGGTCGCTTTGCCTAAACCCAACTAACTGAAACCAATGAAGGCTGAATGAATGAAGTACTAGCCAATTAGAGACAGGTTGGATGTCCCTTTCACTCAGTATTGTTGTTGAATAGAATAGTAACAGAAGTTAAATACAATGGACGGATCTATCTCTTGAGTTTGGACAGAGTCTGTGTTTAGACTAGGGGTGTCACATACACCTCTGGCCCACAAACTCTCTCACCTCTGGCCCACGACTAGATGCCAATTACTATTTATTTTTATCTTTAAGGTATTTTAAATAGTGAGAAAATATTGTTTTAATATACTTAAGACTTTAATTATTTATTTAGTTACTTACAACAAGGAAATTGCACTTCAGTATAGGGTGTGAGTCTCAGATTTAGATGGGTTACAGACCACTGTTGCTCGTCTTCTCATTGGATGTCCAGGACTGTTGAGACCCCTGTGTATGTATTGACAGCAGGCTAATGTTTAATAGTTTGTCGATAAGCTCTTAGCTCACGACCAACTGAACATGATACATTACCAGCGTTTATCACTTGTCTCTTAGGTTAGTCATGATACTCACACCTTCCTTTTTCTCTGAGCTGCTTTTTTTAATCTAACGACTACATGTTAGTGGAATGCCGTGCCCCATTTGTATCCCTGAGATCCCTGACATTAGCACTAATCAGACTCTCGCCCCTTTCTCATCATTCCCAAGTGATGACCGTGCAGAGTAAATGAGACACACATGAGTTGCTGACTCTGGGAGATTGGATTGGACCTTATGGCTGCAGGGCCTGCAAACCAGAAGGCTTGGCGGCATCTCCACGCGTAATCATGTGTGGAAAATGTGGCTCAAAGCCAGCCCACTTTCACCATTCTCTCTCTCTCTTTGCCATTCTCTCTCCTCTCACCTCTGTGGATCTAATCTGATATGCTTGACTGGTCTGCTAAAAATGCACACCACAACACATTGGCCCTGCTGTTGCCCTTTTGCCCAAGAGTAAACTAGAAATTGTCGTTTTCTAAATACTTGTACTTCAGCTCCAGAATGCGTTTGATTTTAATGACTCATTCTGAATTTTAAGCAAACAGTAGTAACAAAGCCTTTGCTCTTGTGGTTTTATGGTGATTGTGATGATGTAATGGGACATTTATTGCAGCAATAGGTCTTAAACATATCAAACTAAATCCGTGTGATCTCTTACCAATATTCTCTCTCCTCGTCAATCTCTTTTTATCTGTTACTCCCCCAGCCCTTTCTCTCATCTGTTTCTCTTTCTCTCAGATCACATGGTTTAAATGAGCGTTTCTGAACCCTCCACCCCCTCTTAAAAAGCTTGTCTCTCCCTGTGCCACCAGTATGACCAACTTAAATACACTAAAGGCCGACACTGTTGAGATTAGTATAGTATATAAAGATTAGAATTAATACAATTGGAAGCCTATTCATCACCCAAGGCCACACTTTACAATGAATGGCTATTAGCCATTCTCTATATTCTCTATTGTTCATGTTTTTGTGTGTTCTAATTTAGAGCCTCGTGTGTTTGACCCCTTCAGTGTATGCACCAACACCGTTTTGCTAACCCTTTAAAAAAAGTAAAAACACTAAGTCCAAAATTTTATTTTTTTTATAGTTTTTGACTTAAATGTGTGATTTTATGTTTTGTTGTTATAATGTATAATGGGTATCAATGTGTACTTTTTACATTTTACTTGGATTTAATTTTTTGGTCTCTTCTTAATATAAGGCAAGGACACTAATTACGGTTACACTGGACAAGAAAATATTTGTTAGTTAAAACTTGACTCTAGGCCTAGACTGCTGGGGAGAACCTCTTGTACATGTACTACTGGAGTATTCTTATTTTCCTGTGACAAAATGAAGGTATTTTTAAAAAATAATTTTTATATTATTGTTCTCTTTCCTCTTTTTCCAGTGAGGATTACAAATCCCACTTCCCCAACAAAAACCTGCAGGCCTTCAGCACACGCCCCCTGCTGGTTCAGCCATGTCATTACGCTGGTGATCCTGAGTGGATAAGCGACACAGAGACATCAACGCTGTGGGACAACGACACAGTACGCACAGACTGGAGAGGTTCCCACAAGACCTTGAAAGGATCTGCACCAGAGATGCTCTCAGTGGCCTACAAGGATGAACTTTAGTGAGGAACCACCCCACTGTGGTGTAGAACATTCAGATAAAAGTGTTGTGAAGCCAGAAAACAGATGCTGAGAAGATGAACTTTAGTCAGACTTTGAGTCCACTCTGTTTGACCTGGACTTGGGTATCTGGCACAGAACCACAACAAAGAGCCATGTGTGTCGAGATTGCTTGTTGACACATGGATTAGTATGTGTTAGAATTGGAGATGCTTCAACTTGCACAGTAGATTTTTGCAGAACAATCAAGGAATTTCTTCTTCTATAATATATTTTTTTAAATTTTTTTGTATAATGGCTTCAGAACGTATTTTGAATGTATGCTAGCAAGGGTGTGCCCTCTTCTGTTGCTTGCATGGTTATGACGCTAATTACAGTGCTATCTAAAGAAAAGCCACAGAGACGACCTCACACAGACTGATGTCTTGTTAATGACAGCTGCACTGTTCACAACTCCTGGCAAATCTGGACAGTATGATACTGTAATTGCTTCTTTTTCTCTTTCTCTTTTATTATAATTCACTTGGACCCATACATTTTAAATATTTTTGTACATTTTTTTCCAAATCATTTTTTTTGTGAATTTTTAGATATAAACTTAGTAATTCTTGAATTCGCTTTAGTGCCAGACAGACCAAAACAATCAAAGTTGGTGTTAGGAATTCAACAGGAGCTGATTTTGCCTCTGTAAAACATTCTTGGTTGCATTTTGCATGATTTGGAGGACAATTTCATAAAAATGTGTTAGCTATCTTTGGCTAAATCCTATAACTGCTTCCTTTGAATTAGCTGTTGGAGTTTTTCTAACTTTTAGCTACCTCTGGGCTAACAGTTTTAGGTCTCTCTTGGACCAACTGTTTTGTATTTTCTTAATGTTTTTGGTTGTTTGATAATTCTCTTTCACAGTTTTTGCCATTTTGTGGCTTCTTAATTATTGTCATATACTTGCTAATTAAACAGTGATTATATGACAGTCTTTTTGTGTATTTTGCTAATGTTTGGCTTATCTTGGACTACCTTAGAGGTTATCCTCAGAGTAAGTATTAACTAATGTTTATGCTTACTTTGGCAGTTTTTGCTATACATTGTATTAACTTTAGGTAATTTGAGCAAACTTAACACTGTTTCGGGTATTAGCTTTGCTGTTAATCTGCTGTTTTTGCTACAGTTTTGAATAACATCTTTTAACCATCAAGTGTGTTTTTTAATCCAATTGTAATATGTTGAGGAAATTTTGTCTGAAGCCTATAATAATAATTGCCAGCGTTTGCAGTATAATATAGTTATGCTAGCAGGTTAGCAAAATGGCCGCTCTTTTACACAAATATTCCATATTTGTTTTGATTTTTATGAATCTGAACATGTTTCATAGCACTGCTATTGTTTGTTCCTGACAGCCCTTGTGGTTTTAAAATGCATTGACTGAGCTCATTCATATACAGTATTTCTGCATGTTAAGTCAGAGTTTGTTCTCTGCTAAGTTTCTGTGCTGTTATCTGTCTTAATTTATTTGTTGTTTCTCCGTGTGGTTTACAGACGAGTCATTAAACATACAATAATAAATAAAAAACTTGCTATAAATTACAAATAAATGCACATAGACATTTGCTGTGATCCATGTTAAGTCTTTGGTTACCAACCCAATTTAAACACGTGCAACACGTACAGCGCAACACATCGACAATTTTCCAAAAGATTTTAGTGTTACGATCATTTTGATTAGAACACAGCACAGTGGAAGCATGCTGTAAAAACAAACACTTGGGATTTCAATTTAACTAAAAATCTGGGTAAATTATAAATTCACAGGTGTTCTGATAAAGGGCAATAAAAGGCATCATTAATCAATTCTCAAACAGACATAAATTCGTTGTTAGTGTAAAAAAGTTTTACAACCTTTTTTATTATTATTTTTATTATTTGTTTTGTACAATTACATGAAATTGGCTTCGAGTGCTACAGCCAAACCTAATATTTTACATTTTTGATGTGTGGAGGTCGCCATTTTTTTTATACCTGCGCAATGCATGCGACCATGACGTAAATTGGTTGCGCTGATACCATAAGCAAACAGGAAGTGCAGGCCAACCTGACACCTTTATAACTAGATGTTATTTTACTCTTGGACAGTTCATTTACATCGACAACGCCACATTGTTCTGCCTTTGGTCGTTCCCCAATCAAATGCCAATTAATAAAACATTTTAATCTTTGATGTTTTCCAAGTGACAAGCAGAGTGCTGGATGTGGACAACACGACTTCCTACAGAACCTCGTCTGTCTTCCAGACACTTCTCTTCTATAGGTAAATCAATTTGTTGGCTAAAGGTAATACAACGGCAAACAGCGGCAGCGTGTTTGTAGGAGACTGCCTACACCAAATGCATGTCGACATTTTCCCGCACAAGGGCGGGAGGAAGAAACACCTTGGGCTGGAGGGCGACAGCGGCCGCTCAGTGCTCTCCTGCTGGAATGTAAACAGCTTGGTCCTCACGTCCAATCTTCCAAGTGTGGGACATGGGACGAGCCTGGACACGGAGAAAGCTGACGAACCACTGGACATTTATCTGTAAGTGTTACGTCCCCCCCCCCAGCTGTGACCGATGCCGTAAATTAAACAGGCTGTTCAGGATGTTCATTACTCAGTCAAGTTTACTTAAGCGGTTAATTAACTTGTTAATGTAGTTTAATATGTTAATTTATTGGTGTGTACTGCACGCAGCTGCTGACAGAAAACGCTCTCTTGCTAAGTTGGTTTTGACAGCACGAATTTTCCGCTAGATGGAGCTGAAACCACTGTTCTTTCTTTTAATTTTTTCCATTCCAGTCTGTTGTCACTCTAAAGCGGATTTCCCCTTAATAAAAAACAACAAATATATAAATATTCTGCAATTAAAAACTCACAATAGAATACATAGGTTCGCCAAAAAGAAGATCAAATTATTTGAATTATTCCACCTAAACAAATACTTCCTGCAATGCGCTCTTACTCCACCAGATGTCACTGATTGTGGAAAAGTGAAATGTGAATTGACTGTTGATGAACCAATAGTTTTTAGCCATAGAAAAATATGTACATTGTACTGACCAAAATCGACCATGGGATCTAATCTCTGTGGAAGAGTCATAAGTAATTAGCTGATCTTCACCTCCTTACATCACTGCTGCTGACAGTTTTTTTTCCATTTAACCTGTTGTTTGTGTCTTGTGAATATTTGCACTGTATGTCAGAGATTAGGTATGGATTTATTTTTTTAATGATTCTAACATTTTTTTATCCATTTTGATAGTGCACTTTCTCTAAAAAATAGAAATGATAATGAAAAACTAAGATTTACTATATAAAGTCTAAAGATTCAAAACAGTTAGGGCTGGGACCTGCACAGCTTCTTGAATCACAGCTAGTGCATGGCCTCATTCTCACATGGTACAGCTGTACACACATGCACACATTAACCCCGCAGCCTGCCACAGCTGTCGGCACATGCACCAACAAACCCTGATATGTCAACTTATGTTTATCTGAAACAAATCACATTAGATTAGAATGAATTCATCATAGCTGAAAAAGTAACATAAATAACATATCTTACTGTTAGTTTAAGATTAAGGTTGAACTTTATTGAAATTATTGCATTGCAGCAGCATAGGGGGCAGAGCAGAATATATTGCACCAGAACCTGTAGTACAAGATTGTAATATAATTATGAGAAGATGAGGCAATTCCTGTTGTTTTTGCTTGATAGCAAAGTCCAAACATTCTGGACACTCCAACCTCAGTCCTGTTTGAGGCTGTTTGAAGCAACTGCACAGAGCTGCTCACAGGAGGGGGCCTGAACTCAGCACCTTATTGGCTGCCAGTTCAGAGGTGGGTCTTTATGAGGTCATGTCTGCAAGCTGAGACTCTCCAAGTGCTTCACACCTTATCATTTTATAACTGTGGAGTCTCCTGTAAGCATGCGCCACCTGCTGGCATCTTATTATGAGAACAAATTATTTTCATGGTCTCAGAGAAACAAAGTTAAACACAGTTGGGACACAGAGAGTCTGAAAAGTCTGGATAATAACGTAGTAATGTATTTTTAAATACACTGTGCAAGGCATGTGGCACGGAAGACAATCTGCATTGGGGTGTGGCTGTAAGCGTCGTAGAGTTTAGCATATATACGTGTTCCAACACAGTCACTTTTCAGGTTTGACAACTGCTGTCACTTCTGTGCCATTTTACCATTTCTTTTATGTATTTAATCATGAGTTATTTCTGTGTTTTGGTGCTATTCTGCTGCTGATGCCTAAACTCCTTCTTCTGAAAGTTCTTTGATTCTTTCTATGTATCCATCTATCAATCTATCTATGTATCTAATTTTCAACTCTCTTAGCTACCACAATCTAAATGTAAGAATTTTTGCATTTTCTTTAACTCACTTCTTTAACTTATTTTTATGCACATTGTTTTTATTTATTTATTGTATGTTCAGCAACCAAGACATTTAGTACTGCAACTTTTTAAGACCGTATTATTTATCTACTAGAGGAACATACAATAGTAAGGGACGGAAGTCACTGGGTTTGTGATTGACTGCTGGGTCTTGAAGTTAAAGTCCTAACATATGGCACTGTGGTTCATGTTTGCCATCGTTTACTCGATGTCAGTGAAGATTTCAGTTATCACGTTACAACTGTACCATTCTAGTGTTCCAGTGTGGGCGGACTTTGAGTTTTCTTCCAGCCTGAATGAATTAAACAACACAACCCAAGGGAAGAGTCCTGGGTTTGATTCCCAGAGGAACCACATGCTTGGCACCTGCAGGGGGCAGCCTGATAACAGCACATCTGCTGTTAACACAAGAATTTCCCAAATATGAGATCAAAAAAGTTCATATTATTATTATTATAACACAACACCGAGTAGTTTTAGTTGGCAAGGCTGTGCTTGGTTTTATATAAATTTGCCAATTTAGATTTTGTTGTTGTTCTTTTTTACCATTTCTCTCAGTCAATTGATAAAAATTGACTGAGAGAAATGCTCAATTTAGCTCAGTCAATTTGAGAGAAATTAATTTCTCTCAAATTTGATATACAAATATACAAGCGTTTGATATACAAATCACAAACACATCGGTACCAGTAAATTCAAACGACTATGCAAAAAAATAAAAAGGCCTAAAGTTAGCGGGCTCGTTAACCGTACATGCCTTCGTACCGTGAGAATAAATCAAGTCAGATCAGTTCAGGTCAGTTCAGTGCAGTTTAGTGCAGTGCCGGCTGGTTGTTCTTGGAGCAGCCGCAGCGATACTACCCGAGGAGGAGAAGGAGGAGTAAACAGGAACTACAACCCGCGACACGAGCTCTTGCACAGCTCGTAAAGCACATTTAACTCAGCTGGTGTGCAAAAGTCAGTCGGATATCTACCTCGGAATATTAGCATTCTGTTCTCCACGTTCAAGAACTTTGCTATCTACGTCGTGTAAGAAGACAAACTACGAGTAAGTCCACAAGGAGATACACAAACATACTATCACGATACTTAAAAAGTTGTCAAGTTGCCATCTTGCAGAAGTGGTCGTTAACATTGATTTTGCAGACCATTTGCAACGTTTACCGCCACGTTGTTGTCTCTGCTACTGCAGCAGTAGCTGCTGAAAATAGATATGCATTCTTGTGGTGCGTTCAAGTGCTCGTCGTGCGTTATGATAGTACTGTATTTTGAAAATATTCAGCACTGTTTTACCACGAAGTTTCGCAATGTGACGTTTTTGGTCTCTTGTGTCTTTGTTTACATTTCTCAGAGGTCTTCAGTATATTTTCAGTGTGTGTTTCATATGTTTGTAGTAAACATAAATCCATAACTCGACTATTTAAAAAAATATACATGAGCTGTACTTGGAGGATCATATTTTATACTTCATAGTTAAACCTCAGAAACGTGGCATCTGTGCTAATTGTGCTTATACATATACGGTGTTTCATGTATATATGTATGTATATATATATATGTCTCAGTGAAAAAGCAGTGAAATAAATAGAGAACAATCACTGAATTACTAGTAGGTATATATTGAAACATAAACAGTATTTTAGGTGAAAAATAGTTATATTGACTAGATTAAACAATAAAACAGTTACAGTTATATTGTAGAAAACATTGGTTAGATACATTCAGCCCAGTGTAAACCAAAATGTATTGTTATTATTATTATTATTTTAAACCATTACCAACAATAATCAGCAAACATTTAGCCAGACATTTGATCTGTCAGAATTAAGAACAAACAGAAAAAGTGTCCTTGACCTCACTGGTGCTCTCATCTAACAGTTAATCAGTGTGTCTTAATCACGCAATACTGTGACCTGTACTTCCAGGTGGAAGCCAAATGGTACGATTTATCATCCAATGTAGAAAGTTTGCTTATCTGCTCAAAATTAATGACTAATAAAATGTGAATATTATTCTTTGCCAAAAGCGATTGGCATATACAACTGTACAGCTCCTATATCTCTTGGTTATATAGTCAATGTCTGAACTTTGACCTGGGTCACCTCTTGTCTGACAGATTACAGTGATTTCTATCATTGGAAATCTAAATGTAATATTCTCCATCAGTGCAGGGAGCTGAACTTGGACCTTCAAGATATCTCTGTTAGCTAGTATTTTTTCCAGTATTTCCTGCAAAAAATCTTTTTAATATATTTTTTTTAAAGAGATATCCAAGTTTTTTAAGATAGCCATAAAGCTATATAGCAAAATGTTAGGGTAAGGGTTAGTTCTTGCTAATACTTGATCAGATAAGGCCAAACAGTAGCTTAAAATAACAAAATACTGCTAAAAACCAAATGATTCCTCCTAAATTTTGCGGAAACTTTATCAGAAGCAATAAAAAAATCTGTCCTTCAGATTGGGATGGGGCCGATCCAATCTAGTATTGGTATCAGCAGTTGATCCCAATGTAATTAGCCGATCAGCCCGATTCGATCCAACCTACAAAGAATTCCACAAACCATGTCCGAGCTCCAGCCTTGTCTGATTCGACAATCAGAGAGTTGGATGACTGTAAACCGTGGAATCACTTTCTTGAACAGAACGTGGCTCAACAAGATCGTGAGACACGCCACAGTTCAGGAAATCCACTCCTTATTTTGCAGCCAGATAGCAGGCTGCAAAGAAATACGTCCGCTGCGTGGAAATATTTTACTGAATAGTATCGGTATAGGCTGATATCCAAATCCAAAATATCGCGATGGGATCGGAGGTGAAAAAATGTGGATTGGTTTATCCCTACTTCAGACATTGGAACGAGTTTTTCTGATAACCCCTTGACCTATTGTGAATTTCCTGTTTCCTGCTGTCGTGTCACCTGTATTTTTGCATTTGTCCACAGGGGACCATGGCTTTTCTGGGGAGCACAGTCCGATGTGCGGTGTTGTTGGTGCGCCCCCCTGTGTCCTCTCTGTGCCGGATAAGTGCTCGGGCCTACAGCTCAACGCCCACCCAGGAAAAAAGTGTACCCTATGAGAAGACTCTCAAACAGGGCAATGGAGCAGCATCTGGTCCCACCAAACCCTTACCCAAGTCAGTGGCTTCTGTTTGTGTATTATCTACATGTGATTGATTGAAGTGGTATCTACTGTATCAGCTGTGTAGGAAGCTGGTAAAAGGTAGAGTATGCCAGAATTTTTCTATAATAAAGAGCACATTACTACGAGAGGGAGGCCAAGTACCACCAGTAGTTTGCTAAACCAGAGAAACGGCTTATAAATCTAGCTGGAAACAAGCTGGTTTCAAAGTTTCTTCTTCTTCTGCTCCAACTATCAAAGTCGCCTTTTCTGCTGCTCACATGTGGATGTCCTCCACCTGTTTCAGGTCAGCCAACGTGGTGGTGATTGGAGGAGGCAGTCTGGGTTGTCAGACTGTCTACCACCTGGCAAAAATGGGCATGAGGGACGTAGTTCTGCTGGAGAGAGACAGACTGACTGCAGGCACCACCTGGCACACTGCAGGTAACAGGTCCCAGAAGAAATTCACATGTACTGTCAGTCATCAGAAAAAAAACCCCACAATGACATTAATGGCAACTGGACTGGTTTAGTTTCTTGGAAGATGTTTCACCCCTACATCCAAGATGCTTCTTCGGGTCTAAGTGGTTGCTGGGAAAATTCTGTTATTTAGGATTGTGTACTCGCTGCAGTGCGAGTACAGATCCCAAAGTAATAACACCAATCCGACCCTTCATTTACTGTAAATGTCTTAGGAATAAATGTTGGAAGTGGATTTATGTGAAACACCATTCTTCCGGTGTGAGTATGTTAGACATAGCGCCGCATACAGGCCTGGAACATGTACTAGAGGTACAACAGTTGTACTCAGCGACAGCATTTAAATGCTGAATTTTCTTGCGCTGGGTACAAATAAATATGCCTAGTTCTCAACACACCTGGATGGCCTGTAGTCATTTCACAACAGTATAAACATTGCCTATGTTCTCCAACAACCTGATAAACTATACCTCTTTACCAGGTCTGCTGTGGCAGCTTCGTCCAAGTGATGTTGAGGTAGAACTTTTGGCCCACACCAGGAATGTGATCAGCAAAGACCTGGAGGAGGAGACAGGTCTCCACACAGGCTGGATCCAGAATGGAGGACTCTTTATAGCCTCCAACAAGCAGAGGCTGGACGAGTATAAGCGCCTCATGTCGGTACGAAAATAATAAGTTGAAAAAATGTTTTTATCAGTATTTCTTTTAAATCAAATACTAGACATTTCAGGGGATCCCATTTGAATTCCAGGTCACCCTGCATGGGGTTGCTAAATCCTGTTGTATGTCTTCCTCAGCTGGGTAAAGTGTACGGCATTGAGTCCCATGTCCTGTCACCTGCTGAGACCAAGGACCTGTATCCTCTGATGAATGTTAATGATCTGTATGGAACATTGTACGTGCCAAAGGACGGTACTATGGACCCAGCAGGAACCTGTACCACTTTAGCCAGAGCAGCAACTGCCAGAGGAGCCACGGTAACGAACTCTTGTCATTTTCTCTCGTTTAGTTTACCATCTCCAGAGCAGCACTGTGGTTTTTTTGTTGTCATTCTAAACTTTGTCCAATGAGTTTGTCACATTACATTTTATTGAAGCTGATCTTATCTGAACAAGAGAAAGTCTAGAGCAGATGAACTGGTATATCACCTTGTCAGGTAAACAATTGCACTTTCAAAGGGAACAAGGGAATGTATATATATATATACTGTATAAATAAAATCTGTTTAATATTAAATTACATTTATCCATACACTACAATATATTGGATTAATGTTCATGTGATTAATGTACAAAACTGAAGCTTGTGTGGTAAAATAAAAATAACATTTTTTAAAAATTTCACTATTCACCTGCAGTACCATTGTGGACCCCTAAGGGTCTCTATAGAGGTGAAAGATCTCTACCTGGCTTTGAATACCGTAGGTCCATTTCACAGCAAGAAAAAAGGTTTTATTTGGGCATTTTATCCTGACTATTTGTATACAGTGTTTATACACAAACACACACACAGACACACACACATATATATAAACATATTTATATATTTGTGAATAGATAGATACAGTAGATAGCCCACCAAAAATAAAAGTAAAGTAGAATAAAATACAAACATGAGTAGGAGCACACTGACAATGATTATGGGAAACCTGAACAGTGGATGTTAGGTTAGTAGAAGTAGGTAGATAGATTAGAGTTAGTAGTATTAGTAGTTTAGTATGTAATTATTCTTGCCCTGTGTGGTGTTGTTGACTGCAATCTCAATTATTATTTATTATTATATTTCAAATATACCATTGTTTACCATTACCATACCATACCGTTATATGTATGGATTTTAGGTGGATTCAAACTCAGGTCCTACAAGAAGCTGAGCAGTACAGTTTCCTTGGAGTCTGATTTCTGTTTTTAAAATATTGGCCCAGAATAAGAACTCTCCAGTGTTTTTTTAACTGTATTTGCCTCAAGGTGTTCTTTTGATTTTAAAGTATGTTGTAAAAGTATTAAATATAACTGCAAACACTTAAAAAACCCACAAGATTAAACTCTGAATCATCAGCTGATTCACTGGGGAAAACAAACGAGGCTGTTGTTTAAACTAAACGTGAGGAACTCCATTCTGTAATTTCTACTTCAGGTGATTGAGAACTGTCCTGTGACTGGAGTTAAAGTAAGAGAAGACGACCTCGGGGTGAGGCGGGTGAAGGCGGTGGAGACACCCCACGGAACTATTGAGACACCGTGTGTAGTAAACTGTGCAGGTGAGGTTCAGACAAGGAAATCCAATGAAGGGAGAACTGTGATTTTTATTTTTATTTGTTTTCATTTGTTTTCTCTGTTGTGCGTCTGATTTTTCTTGTTTAATTATTCCTGCAGGTGTGTGGGCCACCAAACTGGGTGAGATGGCAGGAGTCAAGGTTCCGCTCATTGCCATGCATCACGCCTATGTGGTGACAGAGAGAATTGAAGGCATACAGGTATTGGCCCTGTCTTTTCAAACATTAGCCACACTGTATGCTAGAGGGAAAATATAATCCAGTCCTCCACCAGCAGGCTGCCCAATGTCAAGTATAGACCTTTAAATGGAGGAATGATATTTTGCTTTTCTGAACATGTATTTATGTATACACATATTTATGTATTTAGCAGTTGCTTGTAAGTGGCTTACAAGAGAAGGATTAACAATCAAGCTCCTTAGAGGAACTGTTGACTCTTAGGAAAGGAGATTACTAGTTTGAAAGTTAACTAGATTAGGCTAGCACAGTACCTTCAGAAATACATTGTGAAAAGTTACCTGCTCTACATGCAAGCACTTGGGAAAATCAATTCGATTTTTAGTTAGTAGTACATTTATTTTTGTAAATGTTCTTAAGTTCACGCAGGCTATAAGGTGTTTCTCTTAGCTTGAAATATTAGCTGTTTTTTTTTAACCAATCTTGTTGTTTTATATTTAATCTAGTCCAGTCCATTCCATTTTATTCTATTAAATTAGTACAGTACTGTATAGTAAAGTACAGCATAGTACTGTACAGTACATTATAATATAGTATAATACAGCATGGTATACTACTGTGTAGTGTAAGGAATCTGATCTAGTCCAGACTGGTCTAGTCTAGTCTAATCCAGTCTGCCATCTTTTTGCACTTGTTGACTCAATAATATTAGTTATCATTCGTTTCCTGTTTTTTTTATTCCATCATGTTGTACTAATTTAATCAGACCAACGGGGGGCACTGTGGTCGCACAAATGTCCAGTCTATCGCCTCCATATCTCCGAATCTGTGACGTGTAGAGCTAAAGACCAGTGTCCAGTGCAGTAGACACACATTTGTGGAGCTCCTGTATGCAGAACACACGTCTGGTATACGGTGTGTGTGGTTCTGGGGTAGCTATAACTTTAGAGACAATGTTTGGAACTACACTGTCGGACACATTATCCTTCGGGTGACATTTAGCAGGTTCCCAATGAGCAGGAGGGATGAGAGAGTTCAGATTAGAATTAGGGTCACATTAGAGTAAGTGCAGAGGCAAGGACTCATTCTGTGAAGTGTACACGGAGCACAGGAACCACACAGTGTGTCTTGAGTGTAGTAAAATAAATAAATAAAATGGATTTTGTCTGTGCACACAAGCGTGACCGTGTTCATCCTCCAGAGGGCGTAGGTTTCAGACAGACTGTCAGAGGTTCTCTGTGTTACATGTTCTAGGAAAACGCTTAACCAGCTGTAGACACTCATGCAGCAGAACACCTTCACACACTCAGGGCCATAAAGAAACACAGTACTTTCAGATGACTGAGGAACCTCACACCAAATATCTCCCAGGGCTTTGTCTTTCCCAGCAGTCAGTGGTGTGGTTTTGGATTTTTCTTTTCTGTCTCTGTGAGCATATGAGAGGTTGAATGTTCAACAGGTCCTCAGTTACATGATCACATGCCCTCAGCTGTTCATTTAACTGTTTTCCAGCTGGTTCCTGTTTTGTTTTTTGTTTTTTTTATCAAAATAGTGAATTGTTTGGCAAGAGTCCCCATGGTTACAGCTGTTTTCCAGGTGAGAATCAGTTGATTTTGGGGATCAAATGCACACAAGACTTAATGATTACTATGAAGCACACAACCTCATGTCCTTCCTTAAATAATTTTTAAAAAAGTTTCAATGTAGAAAATTATGAGCATTAAGGCCACATTGAGAATAAAAAAGATTTAAGAAGATTTAAGTCAAAACGCTTTGGGAAAAATGGTTTACAAGTCTTCATTTTTGAGAAAAAAAGTAATAATTTTACAAGAAACAGTTGGATTTTTTTACGAGAATAAACTTAAAATATTAGTGTAATCTTTCATCAAGTTAGATCTAAGGTATTGTTAGTCTACATACAGTATTTAATACAAAAATTATATATTTTTAAGCTAAATTTTAGGAAAGTTTTATCATTCTCATTCAAAATTGTAGTTGTTAATGATGAATTTTTTCCTCTTGTTTGGTGCGTAACCTTGTGCTGCCTATTCCTTTCTGCTGCAGATTGAATTTGACACCACGTTTCTTTCAGCTTTAACAGCCCCTCACGTTTTGTCTAAAGCACAAAAACCAGTCAAAGTCAGACCCTGTTACGCTGATCACTGCAGCCACACACACGTTTGAACAGATTCATTGGTCTGATGGTGTGATTTGTCACTCCTTCTGACTCCTGTGACTTTCCCCTCTGTGCAGAACATGCCTAATGTCAGGGACCATGATGCATCAGTGTATCTGCGGCTGCAGGGTGATGCCCTGTCTGTGGGCGGCTACGAACAGAACCCAGTCTTCTGGGATGAGGTGAGCCGAGGTCGACAGTTTTGATTCCTCTGAAGTGACTCTTTTCTTTTTGACTTAACTAAAGTTGAACACAGTGATTTCCTTCAACTAACTTTCAAAAAGAGAAATGTGTTTTTGTAGATAATCTCTGTCTAATAATTAGTCCGATAAACAAAATCCATTACCTCCCACATAAATACACTTTTATTGCTGTAATGTTGTCATCTACGAAGAAACCTATTTTGATCCTTGCAATCAGGTAGTTAAAATAAGAAGACACTGTTCTGTTTCCTCATATTTTATTCCGTTCCATTCTGCTCTCTATGACAGCCGCAGCCACCGGCTGAGTGTTGGCTCAGTTCACAGGGAGGGAGTTAAAACAGTCCAGATGGTAGAATATTAAAGTCTGGACAAAGTACTGTGATGTATGACGTTTGATTGGCCAGATGTTTCCTGCTGAGAACTAACAAGATGATTTAACAGAACCCTAGTTTGCACACCGATGAGCAGTTTGGGTTTCTGTGAATGGTGAAATCTGACATGTTTCCTCTCTCTCTCGCTCTCTCTCCCTCTTGCTCTCTCTCCCTCTCCCCAGGTGTCTGATAAGTTTGCCTTCAGCCTGTTTGATCTGGACTGGGATGTTTTTATGCAACACATTGAGGGAGCAGTGAACAGAGTTCCCTGTCTGGAGCAGACTGGTATTAAGTCCACTGTCTGTGGTCCAGGTATGTACACAGACACGTGCACCTACACACACACACTCTGTCTCTCTCTCTCTCAAACACTCCATTCCATTTCTGTCATTATGGTTTTCCTGTTTGTTTTCGTCAGAGTCCTTCACAGCAGACCACAAGCCTCTGATGGGAGAAGCTCCAGAGGTCAGGGGTTTCTTCTTGGGATGTGGCTTCAACAGTGCTGGTAGGTGATGCACTAAGATAAACAGGGGTGATGAAAGATAGCGGAAAGTACAGGTTGTACAGAAATCTTTTCATTTCAAAGGTAACCAAAAACAAGTGTTAAATCAAACAAAAACCCAAACAATACCAAGGTGTTGAACTTCTCCTTGAGAAAAACTAAAAGGTCAGAGAAATCTTCAGAGATGCCCTTTGGTAAAATAACAAAAGCAAAACCAGTGGAAAGGGCTGATAAGTGTTTTCCCAGACTTTCAGGCCTGTGTTTTTGACTTCCTTACATTTAGCCTAGTGGAGCAGTGGTGGCTTAGTGATAAAGGAAGCAGACTTGGATCTAGAAGGTTTCAGGTTCGAGTCCAGCTGCCAAGTTACCACTGAAGTAACTGCTTCCCGGGCGCTTAAAGCTGCCCACTGTTCACTTTGGTGATGGGTTAAAGCAGATGGGTTTTCCAACAGAGGTCATGACATGTGACCTCTGCAGGATTGGAGTGGTGGTGAACCTTCCTGCCTCACTTTTGTTTATTTCTGTATTTGAAGCTTTTGTTTTTTTCTTTTGGCTGGCTGTTATACATTCATTTTTTGTTTAAGTTTGTTCTGTTTACTCTTTAGTGTCTTTTCTTAACTTTTACTCTGTTTCAAACCTCTTAGTATTTGTGACTGGTATTAGCATGTTTGTGGTCTAACCTTTAGCAGTCCTAAGCTAGTTCACAGTGGCTGTACAAACCTGAATTATTTTATTTTCCTCTTTCCTTCCCTTTAACTAATCTCATTTACCACATTTCTACATCAACTAGATCCTAGTGATCAAGTCATTTAGTTGGCTTTCCCTTTAGCTACAATGGCTTTCTGGTAAACTTAAGCTTATTGCAGACTCTTAGCCTTCCTATTGGCTAAACCTTAGCAATTTCCTTGCAATTTTAAGGTGACTTGTATTGACCAAAGGCTGTTTATTAGCAATTTTGGCTAACCTTTAGCTTTCTTTAAGTAACTTTTAGCTTCTTACATTTGGTCTTAACTTACACTTCCTCCTCTTTGTACACTGCCCCTCATCAGTCATCACTACATTTGATTATAAACAGCATCACTGTCATTGTTGACACTTCGTCATAGATTCTAAGAATTTGAGTCTTCTAATGAAATATGCAGTGATCCAATATCTGTGACAGTTTGTTATTTTCTCCTTCCATGTTCTACAGTGTTTGTTCTCTGGCAGCCGTGTTGTTCTTATCCTCTGTGTCAAAACAAACTGCTGAGTTTACAACTCTGGACTGTTTGTTGTCATGATGGCTGTTTAATTGCCCAGGGCTGCTCCCACCTCTTACTCAGCAGCTTCCTTAAGTCTTGCTCATGATCACAGTAATGAGCACCTTCCCTAGGATAAAGCTTGTGCCCTGTCTCTGTCCCTCAGTAGTTTTGTTCACGGTGCAAAAGTGAAAATGGCCTGAAATTCTGCCAGTGAGTTTGTTAAAGCTCACTGGCTCCAGTGGTACAAAACCTTCATCCATAACTTTAAACTTCTTTAAAAAGCAATGATTGGATTGAACACTTTTGTTCAACACTCTTATTTTCAAAATAACGAGTCAATTACAAACATTCCTATGAAACTATGAATCTAAAAACATTTAGAATGAAAACAGAGAGAAGCAAATACTTTGTCCTGCTTTTTATGACTTGAAAAGTTTTTTTGTCATAGTTTGAAATGTCGATTTATCACAATAAATAATTTCAATCATAATTATGTATCGTGCCAAAATCACAATGAATCATGATTAATTGAGATTTATCAGTGTTAGTGTGTTAGTGAGTGTTAGCGATTAATCCACATTTATTCAGGGATTAATTAGATTAAACATTTTGTTTGATAACTGTTGTTGAAAATACATGAAATATAAAAAAAAATCCAACCATCCATTCATCCATTTACTCAACAATTTACTCATCCATCCATCTCTCTAACTACCCGTCCATCCATCCATCCATCCATGCTTCCATTCTTTCACCATAACCAGAAGTGAAGGTGCCTACATTTGACTGAACCTCAACAACAGAAAAAGAACAATAAGTGAGTTAGCAAGGAAACATTCTTCACAGAATGGCTGTACTTTATATGGGGGCTCATCAACCATGTAGTTTCAGGAGTGGAGTCGTTTGTTAATTTTCTCTGTTTTCAGCTGCGGTAAACTGACGCCTGTAGCCATTAGCTGTGATGAGGTTCGGTTGTTCAGGAGCAGCTGTGAACAAAGATCAAGAGATAATACTGGGGAGAGAAGATCACACAACAAAAAGTGGCTGAGCATGAAAGCTGCTCTGTTCGTTCACGTAGCTTTTATGTAAATAAAACAAGCGTTTACTGTGGCACTGTTAAATTGTCTGAACACAGGGTCTCTTTTCTGACTGTGAATCTTTCAAAGCCAGTTCAGATCATTATGTTGATAATGTCCATGAAACCCTTAAGGCTGTGTCTGTGTTTCGTTCTCTCAGGTATGATGCTGGGAGGAGGCTGTGGTAAAGAGCTGGCTCACTGGATCATTCACGGTCGACCTGAAAAGGACATGTACGGATATGACATCAGGTACGACACTTGGGGGCGCTAACACTGCCTGGAGTCCAGCTGGGTTGTCAATTATGGCCCAGAATTGTATTATTATTTTTTACAGCCCTCTGTGAATGTTGATCTCGTTTTTTTTTGTCAGTTTTATCAAATAATAAAATGTCTCCTATGTCAGTCAGTCTATCCAATGATGATCTTGAGAATTTCCTCTCTCAGGCGTTTCCATCACTCACTGACCGACAACAACCGGTGGATAAGAGAGAGGAGTCATGAATCCTATGCCAAAAACTACTCTGTTGTGTTTCCTTTTGATGAACCTCTGGCCAGTCGGAACATGAGAAAGGATCCTTTCCACCAGGTATGAGCAGCTCTTTGATTTGCAGTGTTGACAGATTGATTTTTTCCTGATAATGGGGAGGGGGGGGAGGGGGCTTTAAGAAAACAACCCCAAAGTTTCTCCACCAAATGGAAATGTCCACACACGTCTTTTACAGAATGAGGGTAGATAGTTCAAGTTGGAGCTGGATAATGTCAGCTCGGAAACTAGGGTTGAAAACAACCACAAATAATATTTATACAATAAGACATGTTTAATAGTTTTAAAATGATTTTACCTGTGAACTTTGTAAATATAGAGAAACTTTATATAGTCTTTAATAGTCACAGAAAGTATTTGTTTTCCTGTCAGTATGTAAACTCAAAAGGATCAGATCTTCTGGCGCAGTTGGAAGACATAGTAAGGTTGTTGGTGTTAGGTTGTTGGTGTTAGCATGGTTAGCTCTGTCTTCCTTTAGTGAAAGCAGACTCTCAACTATAAAACAACATGCTAGCGTTGTGCTCAGATGCATTAACTGAATGTGAGCTGGTTGTTTAAAGACAGCTCTAAGCTCAATCTGGTGGGCCACATAAAATGGTAATATGGCCCACTGGCCTCGAGATTGACACGTCCTTTTAGTCCTTGAACCGTTGTGTAAGACAAGAATGTTAATGCTAAAGTTACTTTGTTATACTCCCTTAAGTCTAATGATATCATGTTCAACTTTTTCTAACTTTTGCTGTGTATATGAAGTGGGGTAAGCTGGGATTTGACTTTGAAGGTGAAAAGTGTTTGCTGTGTGCCTTGTGAGCACGTCCGTAAAGATCGAGAAAAAAGTCCAAAGGTTCATTGAATATAGCCACAGGAGAACTTCTGCCTCCATAGAACCAGAGGAGTCTGCTACTTGTATGCTACTCTGTGAGACTTTCTCCTCTTTTCTGTAAAATGGCCTTGAAATCTCTTCAAACTTCCATATAAGTTGTGGCAGTGGGGGTTTATGCTCCTTTGAAAACGCTGTCAGACTTTTCTAAAACCCAAGGTGACAATATCAACCACAAACTTCTGTTTTTTCTGGCAAACATTTATTCCGTAAATCTTCAGTCAATCAGTGTTAGAACAGCTGCAGCTAATATAACATGAGTTGATATAAGAAGTGTTAATATAAGAAACAAAATTAGCAAACCCATTGCAAAACAAGCTATCTATTCCAACCCATAAGATAACAAATTTCCCTGGAAATGCCTGCAACCAGTAGGACTAAGTAGCCCCAAAAATGTAAACGTTGAAAAATATCAAATTTTGCAAGAAATATAATTACAAATGATCTAGTAATTAGCCGTCAAGTTTTGCTAAACATTAGCCAAAAGATATCAAAAACGGTTTCAATGTTCACAAACACAACATAATAATGCTTGAGAGTAATTGATGAAAGTAAGGTAGGTAAAATGATCCCAAAATTTATTTCAGCTTAAGAATACCAGAACTACAACCTTCAGGAAATCACTGTCAGATATTTTACCCTAACCATCTTACAGTTAATTTAGCCAAAACATAATTATGTAATTATTTAGAAATACCCCAAATGCTAGCAGACCAGTGTTTTGTATTAAGTTCACACTGTGAGCTTAAGTATTTAAAAACACTCTGCCAAACAATGCATCCTGTTCATTTTCTTCAAAGTTGACAAATGAATGTTAGGTTCATTACTACCACCTACTGGGCTGTTGTGATTAACTGTGTATTTTCACTCAGATGTTGACCAACCAAATTCAAGAGTTAAAGTTCGAGTCCCAAGGACAAACAACAGTTAGAATGTCAACAATAAGAAGATCCATGTTTGATTCCATTTATAAATCATCCATACATTAGCAGCTTGTCTTTTTCTGTTTTTTGTTTGTTGGCTTCATTCAAAAGCTTTGGATTTAATTCAGACCCAAATGCATATTTTTCATAGTCAGTTGGTGATTAACATGTGAGTCAGTGGTTTCATAAAGAGACCTTCACCCTGTGGTGAAATACCACTGATGCAGACTGTGAGTCATTAAATCTCTTCTTTTCTGTTTTTGTAATGTTCGCTGCTGTGGTACTCCCTGTTCCTGGCACATTCTGAAAGAACTGTGTAAGAAAGACTGTTTCCTGGTGAATCAAGTATTTGACGCATTTAACATGCGTATGTATCTGTAGTTCCGTAATTCATGCTTCTTGGATACAGTAGAACAAGAAAGGATTTGCCAGTCTTTGTATAAAACAGTCTTTCTGGTCTCTCAAAGTAATCACTTGCTAAACCCATTCTGTAAGTAAATAAATAAACTTTTTTACTTTTATTTCTTTTCTTATACTTTAATTTTATACTTTTATTTTGAAAAAAGACTTTTATACTGACAATCCTCTGGATGTTTGGTTTTAGGCAGATGGTCAACAAAATGCAAATATGTTTTTTTTTCTCCTGAATCCCAGTACCAAATGACCAGTGACCAAGTACTGCGCTACAAAAATATTAATAAAATCACACCCACCTAGATATTGTAGGATTTTGACTGTCTCATTTTATGCAAATTAGCATGTTTTCTGTCGAAAACTGTCTACACTTTTAGCTTGCCATAAAGAAATGTCTTAACAAACTTTGAGCAATTTTATGGCTAGCTTGCTGTAATTTTTCAAACTATCTTTTCTCTTTTCTAACCAGATTTTCTTCTCTTTTTTTGCTATTTTAATTAAATCTTGTTTGGTAAATCTCACTTCTCCTAATATTTTAAGCTAAATTTGAAATATTGTTGTTAATTATTTGACCTTTTGTTTTTGACAAGCTTTTTAACTTGTTGCTCTGGCCCAGTTATCATTTTTTAAATGTCCTTTTCTTTATAGTTGTGTGATATGTCAACAATAAAGTTATTTCTGAGCTAACGTTTAGCATAATCTTTTTCTAAGATTTGCCAGGTCACCAGTTTGCCACTCGTGGGTTTGTCATACTGTATAGTGTATTTGTGGATAAAGCACACAGTCTCTCTGAGCCTGGGTTTGATCAACAATTTAGCTGAAGGCCCATTACCTTCTGCTAATCATTCATGGATGGCTATCACCTAGCAACGGGCCTCATTGCTGCTGGAGAGCCAGAGATAAATGCAGGGGGTTGTAGAGCCAAGAAGGGAAGAAAGGAAAAAAAAAACACTTGTAGAGGCTAATTGTTATTTTTAAAATGAGCGTTTTCTAAATTACAGCAGCACTTGCTGCAATCATGACAGCATGTATTATGGATACCAGGTATTTAAGTGGGCTGATTGGCTGTTAAAAGATGTCCCTACGCTTGGACTACATGTCATCTCTGACACTGCTGAACATGTTTCCTCCACGTCGGATGCACGGATGATAAATGTATAAATAGCTCAGTGTGGGAAGTTTGGCAACACACAGCTATCTGGCTGCAAGGAGGAGCAGGAGATAGCAGAGCCACCGACTGTAGGCGACAAGATCGAACACCGAAATGTTTATTTTTTTATAGAAACCAAAAATAATCTAGTGTTATATCCTAAAGATATTTAATGATTAGGAAAACATTTCTGAAGAACCTATTTTATATATATGTATATATATGTATATATATATATATATATATATATACACACACATACACATATGGGCAGTACTCCATTTGTTTAGCACTTCTCTAGTCAGGATGACCAGTCAGAATATAATGTACAAGCTGCTTTCTAGTCACCAGCAGCAGTTATTAGTTAAAGGTACAATCAGCACATTAATGCTAAAGTTACTTTGTTATACTCTTTTACTGTTTGTAAAAACATTATTCAGCCTCCTGTAGGTGGTGCTGTTTAAAACTTCAGGTTTGTTTTCTACTTCTAAATCCTGACTACTGCAGGTCAAAATAACCCGCCTGCTTTAGGTTTGCCTGCCACCTAGTGTTTGTTATTGGTATAACAACTCCTACCAGCAGAGTCCTAATCATCTGAGGGACATGAGAAAAAAAGAAATGCAGACAGAGGGCAGCACTAATGGAGATGGACACCATGCCTCAGTAAGTGTCACTGCACTTGACACTGAGTTTTATGATTTATCAAAAACCATTAGCTCATGTTGGTTAATTACTAGGTTGTATGGAGCAGGGAGAATGTACGAACCTTTGCTTGGTTTGCTTCACTGTGACACTGTATCACACTGTTTTTGATAGTGGACCAAGCTGCAAGGAAAACAATTGCAGCATCTGCTCACATAGGAATGATATTTTTGAACATGCCCTGACCAGAGAGGAAAAATAGGATCAAGAAGAATCAAATGCAGATCGTAGGTTATCCAGGGTCGAGAATCTAAATCTCTCTAGCAAACAGAGACCCAAAGTTTTTAGGCGGACCAGAGTTCCCCTGAGTTTTGATGAGCTTTCACACCGACCCACACTGAGAGGACTGAGCAAAAAGACAAACTCTTGTTTTTCTCTGGTTGTAGGTGCTGACGGAGCAGGGCTGCGTGTTCCAGGAAAGACACGGCTGGGAGAGACCAGGCTGGTTCAACACAGATGGACCGGCTCCTGTAAGATACACACACACTTAATGTTGTCATATTAAAAATAGTAAAGAATGATTGATTTTCTTAATGGTGCAGGTTAAAGACTACGATTACTATGGTGCTTATGACACCCAGAAGAATGAAAATTACAAATATAATCAACTGCTGGGGGAGGAGTATACCTTTGACTTCCCTCCACATCACAACGTGGTAAGTTGTGCTATTGTTGTGTGTTTTTCTCTTGTGTGTGAAAGTGAAGGAAATGACAGTATGCTTTTTCTGTTACATTAATGAATTAATAAAGTAAAAATGTACGTTGCGCAACTCCTTTAATTAGCTAACTTTAAGATGTTTATGTACATATTTTATGTAGGCTAATGGTTAACATACTGTATGTTTCCTTTTTTAATTTTTGCTGAAATTGGCCAAAAAAAAAAGAGAAATAAAATAAATATGTCTCGATTAGATTTAGCTATTTCTAACTTTAAGTAGAAAATTTGTAGTTGTTATCTAGTGCATTGGTCACTTGGTGCCTGGGATCACCTGGTAGCCTCCATGCACTACCTAAGGTCCCCACCAGGTATGTTCTAAAAATAAAACTAGTCAACAAGAGGGTAAGAAATTGTTACTATTGTTATTTTTTTAAATCAGTTACACCTGTAATGATATTCAAATGGGTCGAATGACGATGGTAAGAAGAGTGTCTACTACTGTAAGTCCCAGAGTAGCTCTCTGTATTACTAAGTACGCTTGAAGTAGCTCTTAGTTTCAAAAAGATTGGAGACCCCTGATCCAGAGTATTTCTACTACTGTAAGTCCCAGAGTAGCTCTAGCTACTAGCTGTTAGCTTGTGGTGTTGGGATGTTCTAGCTATTTCTTGACTAGTTTAATGTTGTGACTAATATGAGTTATATATGTATATACAGTATATTCATATACATTTGACTAATATATAGCAATTGAGGGTTCTGAATCAAATAGCAGCATGTTATAGCTGCTGTTTGCTAATTCCATGTAGTGTATTGTACGTGCAGCTAATCTGTTTTCTAATTTACCGTTCACTCTCTTTCTAGACTAACATTTTGTTTTGTGTTAGAAAAATGGTAACCTTTATATTGTAACTAATCTTGTTACACCAAATGGTAAGTAATTGTAGCCATTTTGTTGAATATTTGGCTTCAGTTCAGCATCTGACTTTGTCTGTGCCAACCTTGACTTTCTTTTATTGTCTGTTATTCAAGTCTTTTGCCCCAAGTTGAGTTGAATTGCTGATTCTGGCCTGCAGGTGTTTTTATATGGGTCAGTAATTATGAAGCAGAACCAGCATTCATGACACACTGACTGGATGTTAGCAGTGCAGCATAAAGGGTTTTTTAAGGTCAAGTCTTGTTTCATGACTTAAGAAAGAAAGCGAGCTGAGTTGAGGGAGAGAGGGTAGATGGAGAGGGAGCTTTTGACTCGAGGCCTAGGGTTTTCTAGGGTTTATCAAATGAATGTGAACAGTCTCAGTGTGACCTCATTAGAAATAATGGTCGTGTGGAGCAGGCAGACAAATACAAAGTTTCAGTCAGTTTTATGGTGCCTTGAAGGAGTGCAACAGCCTCACTCAACAGCTTAGAGGACATTGTGATGCAAAAAAAATGATTCACTATGCTGTGATAAATGATGCTTTTTAAGGAACGCTCTGGATCTCTCTTGGATCCTGAAGAAGTCCTAGAAACACGTGGTTGACATGCAAATGGTCAGTGTTAATCTGACATATGTTGTGATTTTTATTTTGCAATCCAGATTAAGGAGGAGTGTCTGTCATGTCGACATGGCGTGGCTGTGTTTGACATGTCCTACTTTGGAAAGTTTTATCTCACTGGACCAGATGCCAAGAAGGCGGCCGATTGGCTGTTCACTGCAGATGTCAACAAGAAACCAGGTCAGTCTGGCTGCTGGTGATAGCAGACACACACAGAAACACACAAACACACCAACAAACACACACACTCACACTGGATTCAGACAAAGATAAATTGAACAGAATGAGGGAAAGATTGATGAAAAAGTTCAACGTTTAAAATCTGAGAATACAACAGCAGTAGTTTCACTGCTACAGATGACAGAGCTGTAACAGTTGGAGGCTTTCACTGTTTAATTTAACTGTGGCTTTCAAAATGCAGCAGCTGGATTTCACTGCTCCTCGCCTCAGTGGAAAGTTGCAGAGAAAATAGCGATGAGGAAGTTTGAAATTCTCGAAGATCTGCCATTGAAGTGAACGACCAACATGAAGCAAAAACTCCAGAAGAGAGCCTGAAGCAAAAATGAGTTGAGCTCAGTAGAGTTGGACTTCAGTGTTATCTCCTGACTCAGAGTTGACTCAGCCTTCAGACTGTGTCTCTAGAAATCAACAAACATTGTTTTTTGTGCAGGGGAGGGGCATGAAATTCACTTTTTAAATCACATGGTCCTGTTCATGCTGCAGCTTTGAGGGGGTAAAAAATAGATCTAAACAAGAACCAAAGTAAATGTGATGTTTGGTCTAATGAGGTACAGACTGGTGGCAGAAATTAACTACAGTATATTAAATATTGTCAATGTTAACCTAGACATAGGTAGATACTTTCCATTGATGGCAGATAAAACTAAAAGTTAGCCAAAAGACAAAGACAGATTATGATAAAGTCGTATGATTGAGGGGAGTCTAAAAATACGCCCTTGTCTTTTTGTTTCTCATGTTCCTTTATTGCGTGCACCAACATAAATGACATGTCCCAGCAGGACAGTTGAGGTCTAATGAGGTACAGACTGGTGGCTGGTTGGCTGTACTGACATATTAAGCAGGCAGACTGCAACAATATAATCAATCATTCAGTCAACCAATGGATGACAGTCACATCTAAATTAACCTGTCAACGCAGCTGTCAGCTGCTTTGTCCGACTGCGTTATCGTTTCAGTGTGCCCTTGTAATTAGATACAGACTTCACTCGGTAGTAAGTGGTTTGTAACGACGTCTTTGTATGAATGTCTCAGATAACTTTTGTCTCTGCAGTCATGAAGCTCAGATTTTATTCCTTACTTCTGTAGCTGTCGCTTTAAGGTTTAATATTGGAGTCAATTCCCTAAGAAAAGGATTGTAAAAATACTCCAGTCCCAGGAAACTTTAGAAAACCGTGGAAGAAAAAGAGAGAGTTTTTCAAGTTACAAGTAAGCAACTTCTGCAAGATTTTTGGAATTTTAATTTAATTAATTAATAGTATATTTCTGGGTGGCTGGAACGAATTAGTGTTCCCTCTCTATCGCGGTTCTCCTTTCGCTCCCTCAGTACATCATGGCAGATTTATCTTATCCGATCTCACGACATTACGTGATATTTTTTCAGAGTAATGACCTAAATTAAACTCCACATTGTTATTTAGGATAGGGGGAGCCAGAGCTTAAGCTAAGTGCAAAAAAAGACCATTATCTTAGTCTGACCACAAACCTTCGACCTCATTGTTCTAAGGCATACGTGTCAAACTCAAGGCCCGGGGGCCAAATGCGGCCCGCCAAGCCATTTTGTGTGGCCCACAGGACCTTAACCTGAGAAATTAAAAGTTTTTTTTATTACATCTTTTTTTAATTGAGATTCTTTAAATAAAGAAAGCAAATTGATATGACTGGACTTTCTTTGAATGAAGTAAAAATTATAGTAAAAATTAAGCACATTTTTTAACTTTGTCCTACTGCAGCCTGGTACCAAATGACCAATGGACCGGTACTGGTCCACGGACCGGGTGTTGGGGACCCCTAATCTATACATTCTTCCAGTTTCAACCGGTTCTTCAAGTGGAACTGTATTGCTCTTGTTCTAAGGCATCAATTCTGATCGCTCCTTCATGGTGTTGGCCCCAAACAGAAACCATTAGAATTGTTATTTTGTCAGGCAGGGAGTGCAGGGATTCACACCCAACACAGAATTACAGCAATATAAAAAGGCTGGTTCACTGTAACAAGCCGACTGATGTTACGTTTATTGAGCATCATGGCTGAAATCCAAGAGGCTGATGTTACTGCTGCTGCTGCTGCTGACCCTACTGCTGCTCATGTTGCTGCTGCTGCTGCTGATGGTACTGATTATGCTGCTGCTGCTGTGTATTTCAGGCTCCACTGTTTACACCTGCATGCTGAATAAAAGAGGAGGAGCAGAGTCTGACCTGACAGTGAGCAGACTGGAGCCTGGAGCTGTTAACCTACCACTAGCACCAGAATCCAACGGTAAGATGCTGTGTGCGTGTGTGTATACATGTACGTGAATGTGTGTCGAAAACAACTTCCCATGGCTCCTTGCTGCAGAATAAGACTTCTTTTGGTCATATTATGTTTGGTAGTTTGTATGTATGTAAAATTGGACATGTATACTGGCAGCTACAGAAGGTGACCCCATGAGGGGGTCTGCAATTTAAATGACAAGTGACAGCTACTAAAATGTCTCTGGGGTCGCCAGAAATTTGTGATGTCAGAATGGGGTCACAAGACAAAAAAGGCCGGGAGCTACTGTTCTAACTCCTCTTCTCTCCTCACTTCAGGTGACGCCTACTATCTGGCCATCGGAGGTGGTGTCGCAGAACACAACTGGAACCACATCAGAACGGTTCTCCAGGACCAAGGTTTCCGGTGTGAACTCACTGACCATTCAGAGGACATGGGGATGATCAGCATCCAAGGACCAAAAAGGTGAGGAAATGGATCACATTTTTCATATTAAAACATTGTTTTTCAACCTTGGGGTCGTGACCCCTGGTGGGATCACCTGGAACTCAATACTGAAATTTTTTTTTTTTTTAATTATGCTAAAAACACCAAACACAATCTTCAACAACTGTATTTTTTCACTATCATGAATATAAATCAAGTTCAGATTAACAGCATATAAAAACATCTGAGCTGGTGCATTTTGATTGACGGCTTGACATGACTGCATTAGTGACGGCTGCTTGATTTCCTCTCAGTACTTTGTGCACTAATCTGGTTGCTCTGTATTTGCAACACAATATAACAAACATGATAAAAAGCAAATAAAAAAAGAATTGTCTCCGCGTTTGCCAGAAATATGTAACGTACAAATGGGGTGACCGGCCAAAAAGGGTTGAGAACCACTATATTGGAAAGAGAGGGAGAAGAGAAGAGGCAGGAGGAAAACGATACAAAAGAAGAAGAAACTGCAGGAAAGAGAATGTTGTTTAACCTTAATCAATATGAGCGAGTTTAAATTGTGCAGACCTGGCCACCGGCCAAACAGAGGGAGGAAGAGCAGAAACAGTGAAGATGAATTCAGTAATTTCATTTAAACAGACTGAAACCCTGTGATTCAAATTATACTGGAGGTGAGTAATGGCCGTAGAGATTGAACAGGATAGCCCTGGTTTTACTTACACAACCTGGAGGGGAGATGGTTGTAATTAGTCAGCTCTGGCCAGAAAACAAAATAAAGGTAGAGTGGGTCTCTACCATTTTCCCCAAGTTTCCTCTCACTATCAGAAAACAGGGTTAGGTCATTGTTTACTCTAAGGGACCGCGGGTGTGAGTTTGAATAGTTGTTTGTCTCTATATGTGGTCTTGTGATGGACTGAGGTCTAGGACAGGGGTCACCAACTGTATTTGTCAGAGGCCCAGAATTTTTCAGGACAGACACCTTGAGCGTCCCGCGGGCCACCAGTTGCCAATCACTGGTCTAGGGTGTAACCCTCAGTCAAAAACTGCTAGGATTTGCTACAGCGCCCCCTGTAGCTCTGTTGGATTACTGTGTAGGAGATTCTCCAGCTTGTTTTTCTGACCATATTTCTTTCCTAAAGAGTCAACTGGACTAAGTTTACCTCCTCCAGGTCTTTTCTCTTTTGAACTCCTCGTCCAGCTCCTATTTCCACTCTCACCTGTCTCTGCTCTGCTCTCTGCCTTTGTTCTTCCCTGTTCTCTCCTTCTTCCCCGTTTCTAACCCAACAGTAGCAGCAGCAGGTTTAGGCCGCTCTGTTCCCTGTGTGGGATGCATTGATTTATTCTCCTTGAGTTGGTTTTTCTTATCTCTTTCTCAGAGACTTCTGCCGTCTGTTGATTTTTTTTTCTTCCCAGCTCTACTTCACCTTTTTTATGTTCTTACCTTTTTTTATGCTGTGTCCTTTATTTTTGCTTACGAACCACAATTCATTGCATCACCAGCACCTTTGGCCCACAGTGTGTGTGTCTGTGGATGGATGTTTTTAACCATAGATACACATAGATATTGTGAAAACCAAAACTGAAACCATTACAGAGACCCTGGTTATTACAAGGCAGAAAACACAACTAACGGCCTAAAAGCTAGCCAAATAATATTAGAACAAATTCCCATAAAGAAAAATTGGCATCAGTGCTAAAGGTTGGCATAAAAAATAGCAAAAATCAGTTGCAATTAACAAAAGGGCTAAAATGCTTACAGAGAACTAAGTTGCTAAAAAAATAGCTAGGTGTTACTAATAAGATAACGAGTGCCAATTTAAGGGAACAGCAGCAAGCTTAGCTTAGCTCAATATATCTGTGAAGTTGAGAAAAATGTTAACAAAACTTTTTACATTAAGTTTGTCTTTTTTTAAAGGTGCTTCATTTGATGTGGATCAGTGTACAGTATGTAGTGGTATCGTGTTGGCGGTGTTGTTGTCCTGTGTGTTTGCAGCATGTTGGATTGGCACCTCTCTCCTCTCAGCTTCAGGATGACTCTCAGCTCCTCCTCATTTTGTCTGCCACATTTGAAGAAGTGCAGTCAATCCAGCCTCCAGTGTTTGGGTCTCAGCGAGCAAATTGATCTCTTTTAAAGCTGGAGGAGGAAGGAAATTACAGCTTTTATGGAAATTCATTTGTCTGTGGTTGCCTTCCCAGAAATTTCTCTGGAGTATTTAGTCACTATAACGCACTGATGCTTCCTCACACTCTTTGGCAGCTTTTTTTTTTTTTTCCACCCTAAAGGAACTGAAAGCTGGTGCTTTGTTGGGTCTGTTGTATTATAAAGACGATTTATAACAGGAGGAATTATGGGACCTCCACAAAGAGAGGCTTGTGTTTGTCCTCATCCATCCACTGAGCCACAGATGAGAACGCATTTAATTAGCATGTCAGTGAAACTAATTGTTGGTTAGCTTACTTACACTACACACACACACACACAGAGAGAGAGAGAGAGAGTCTGACTAGAGGCAAGGGAGATTTAAAAAAAAAAAAGATTCTGCAGTAGATATCAGTCTATACATGGCCTTAGAAAATTTTGGTCTGAGTGATACTTGAAAACATTTCTCTGAAGACACCGACGTAGATACAGAAGTGAACGTTTAACAGATTAACAGCATATAAAAACATCTGAACACAGAAGTACAGAAGTGAACGTTTACAAGATGAAATGCTTCTCTAAATAGCCCGGCCATTTATCAGACCTATGGAAAATATCATCCAGAAATGAAGTTCACTTTTGTTGGTGGTATTTGTGGGAAAAGAAAACTTTGTAATGGAAATGAGTCACGCTAGAATCTGCTATTTATAATGTCAAACAGTCCAACATGGATGAGAATGGGTGAGTGCTAGCTGAACGATAAATAAAAGAACCACACGTTGCTGTTAGCTAAAACAAGACATCTGGACTTGATTAGATTAGATAGGTTGGATTAGAGCTAATTGGCTGAAGTGAGATGATGATTATTGATGATGACTAGTGGTGACACACTTGAGACATTTACAATAAGAAGCAGCACAGGGCACATGTTAGGCTTATTATATCATAAATAGAAGAAGAAAACAGGATTATGTATTATATTAGTACTGTTTTATTTATACCATTATATAATAGTATACATTTAAATATATATATATATATATATATATATGAATTCACCTCTACAAAAGGGTTATCAGTACCTAACCCTTTTGTGGAGGGGAATTCATATATATATATATTAAAAAGCTGAAGCTAAAAGAAATCTTGGTGATCAGTAGCAGGAGAGCAGATGAACTCCCTGTCCTCTACGTATTGTGACACGTTCAACCTCAGTGATTGAAATCAAACGTTCAGACTGTGATTTCTCTTCCGGTGCAGCCGAGAGGTTCTTCAGGAGGTTCTGGACACAGACCTGAGCAACGAAAGTTTCCCATTCTCCACACACAAAGTTGTCAACGCGGCAGGACATCAGGTGAGGGTGCAAACACACACGGCCTGTTTTCTTAACACTCTCCCCCCTCAGTGACTGTAGAAGTGAGGCGTTGGTGAGCTACAGATTATGAAAAGCTACTTTCAGAAAAGACTTATTTCAACCCGTGTCTGTGTTCAAGGTTTTTTAACTCAGAAATTCAGTTTCTTGACACTCTGGAGAAATTGTTGATTAATACTTAATAGTAACAGCGATGGTGCACTGCAGGCAGTACTGACAGGTGCAGGTGCATCACTGTGCTTCACAGGGTTGATGCAACAACAACCTTGGCTCTGACATATTATTATTATTATTAGCTGCAGGTCTGAATAAGTTCATTTTATAGATTTCAGACAGTTTATCATTCCACAAACACGGGTGCTTTTTTTATGTTCACAGCAGAGTGTCGTCGGTAAAATGACTAATAGTACTTTGTATTTTCAAACAAATAGTAGAAAAATAAAAGGATCAGATTGATATGTGAATAAATGAATGAATGAGAATTCAGCCGCAGGCTTCGATCTTCACAATATTTCTGGTCTCTAATCAAAAGCATCGTGTTTGTCCTGGAGCTGGAATCCACTCCTGCCGCTGGTCCAAGCACACTTGCTGCGTTGCCTTGAATTCTGCAGCTCTCCACTGATTGCACCCGGCATCTTCTCGCAGCTCTGTGGGAGTGTGTTTGTGTGTTTGTGTGAGCCGCGTTCATGCTCAGATTGTTTGTGCTGTGTTCCGTTCCCCACTAGTTCCTGGCCTTGTCTGGGTGACATTTTAATGGCTGCACTGCTGTGAGAACAGAGTTGACTCTCTGCCCTCTGCTCCACTCATCACTCATTAGTCTGTCTCTCTCTCTCTCTCTCTCTCTCT